AAGCGCCTCTAGCGACTGTCAATGAGACAGCCGCTAGAGGAAATAGGGGAAGGCTTAACCCATTCATAAACATAGCAGTTTCTTTGAAACTGCTATGTTTATGAAAAAATGGGTTAACCCTAGCTGGACCTGGCACCCAGACCACTTTATTAAGCTGAAGTGGTCTGGGTGCCTAGAGTGGTCCTTTAAGTTGGACTGGAACTGCTTATTGCAATGCTAGCAGTCTTACAATATAAAGACTACAATGGAAGATAGTATCTACTCTTTGTGATCAATGGCCACTAATCAAGGGTTAAAGCAAGAGCACACTACAACATGAGATTGAATGGATAGACTTAATAGGTTTCCTTTGATTCTGGTATTAATTATCTCATATGAGCATAAGAGGTTACCACTGAGGCTGTTTATTATCTAATTAAAAGGAATTTAAGAAAAATAATAGGAAGATTAAAAACATGCACTGTATTTATAAGACTGCATTGACTACAATAAATGAGCAAAAATGACAACACACCTCAGTAAAAAGGTGTTGTTTGCCAGTTTAACCCCTTAAGGACCAAACTTCTGGAATCAAAGGGAATCATGACCTGTCACACATGTCATGTGTCCTTAAGGGGTTAATAGGTCCAAGGTAATGGTCAAACTCAGAAGCATAACTAGAATCAACTGGGCCCTGGTTCGAAAATGTCCCTGTGGCCCCTCCTAATTGATGTCTCATTCACTCACCCCCCGTGTCTTATTCCCGCACCCAGGCTCCCCCATTTGTCTCAGTCCCTCGACCCAAAAGCCCCTCCGTGTGTCTCAATTCCTCTTCCCCCCTTAGCCACTCTGTGTCCCATACCCTTCTCCTCCAGCCCCTCCATGTGTCCTACTCCCTCTCTCCTCGACCCCCTTTATGTTTCTCATACTCTCCTCCCTCCCAGCCTTGTCCATGTGTCCCATTTCTCCCTCTCCCACTCCCTGTGTCCCATTCCTATCTCTTCCCTCCTCCCCTCCCTGTGTCCCATACCCTCCCTTTCTCCCTCTCCCCTCATGTGTCTCATTGTTCCCTGTCTCCTCCCTCCACTCCAGGTGTCGCATTTCTCCCTCTCTCCTCCCTCCCCTCCCTATGTCCCATCCCTACCTCTCTCTCTCCTTTCCAGGACCAGCATTTCTCTGCTGCGGTTCCCGGTCTGATGGTAAGTACTCTGTCAGTGAGTATTTGCTGTAAGACTGCTTAGCCATGCTACACACAGGCAGTAGGGGAGCAGCACAGCACAGCTCTCCCCTCCTGCCTACTTCGGGAACCGTAGACCCGGGCCGGTGTGGCTGTGCACCAGACCATAATTAGCCAGGTGACACACGGTCTCAGGGGTTGCAGCTGTGGCTGAGCCCCCTGGAGTGAACCCCAATTGTCATATTTAAATTGCCTATGGTTAGGAGGCCCTGAAAAGGAATATTTATTATATATCAAAAAGTCAAACGTAATGCTTGAAATATAGTACAGTGATGTGAAATGAATAACTGTTAAAACGATAAAATGTATGTGTGTGTGTGTGTATATATATATATATATATATATATATATATATATATATATATATATATATATATATATATATTACACAAGATCCAGCGCACTCACCTATCCACTGAACAGCAACTTCAATGTTGAAAGATTTTTTGTTTTTTTAAAAACACCTAATCTAGACAAAAATAATGGGGGTTTAGTTACATTATATGATCATACATTGCATAAGCCTGCCACAACATCAATGTACCCCATCTTTGGCAGGTCCTACACTAACAGCCTAATGTCTGCTCTTATGAGATTAACCAACTTGGGGGAAAAAATTCCATCTGGGGCTCTCTGCAGTACAAGGCTAAATGCAGAACGTGTGGTTAAAAAGCTAAAAAAAAAAATACATACAGAAAAGACTACATAGACTACAAGTCCTCACTGCCTCTACCATACTGGACTGTGAACCCAAGAGAAAACAAATAATCCAAGCATCATTAATAAAACCAAAACTGTGTGCATTTTTGTTAGGACCATTAGCAACAGAACCGAGCCAAAAAAAGAGCAATTAAAAGAGCTCTGCCTATCTCCAAATAATGCAGTAGCCAATCATCTTCTATCGAAGTAATGGGAGGGGGATAAAATAACATAATGGGCAATCTTGAAAGCAGGAGTACAGATTACTGTCCCTCTCCTCCAACCCAACCAATTATGCTTGATGTGTCACCATGTGTCTACATAAAATGGATAACAATTGTGTACACCTATAATATAATTAATACCTAAAGTGACACACAGTATCTGACTTAATACAGTCTTTGTTACTGCAGCGGGGGACATTTTTTTATTTATTCAGCACTATAAATTAGGTTCCCCTTATATTTTACCGACAACATGCAAAAAAACATTTTTTTTACCCACCTGGAATCCAGCACCAGGCAAGGTCCCTGGTGTTTTCCTCCACTCCTTCACCAGCTGTCAGCAGGGCGTTGCACAGAGTAGCCTTTGATTGGATTGCTTTGGTTGCTCAGAGCATGGACACAATCTGAGTTGGTGAGGGGTAATGGGAGGGAGATTAGGAGGAAAGGTGGGACTAATTAATATATTAAAAATATTAGCACTACAGTGGTGGACATAGTGGTGGGTAGGGCTCAAATTGCAAAGGAGTGAAGGAGGGCAGAAAATGTTCAATAGGTCCATTGCCAATGTGCAGTACGTACTGACAATGGACATATTTTATGCACAGAATAAACATTTAGCAATCTTGAATAGAGTTCTGGGATGCCAAGGTCACTTGTGCCAGGGTATAACTAGTCGAGGCACAAAAGTGCATATTACTTTTTATGTGCACTTACAGATTCCTACCACCATAAGCACTTCAAATCACTGCTGGTGAACAAGTGTAACAAGTAAAAACAAGTGTAATAAAGTCAGAGCAAATACTACTCTATTTTAAAGAAGGACATTACAAACATTTTGGGTAAACAATACACTTTTCCAGGTAATTGTACCTTGACAAAGAATATTTTAATCAGAAACATTTCTAATGTTGTATGTCCTTCAATAAAATGGAGTAGCACTGTGGTGAACCAAGCATTATTGTTGCACTTGTTCTGATTTTAATTCATTATTAGTTTAGCCTTCATTTAAAAAGTCATAATTTCACAGGCTCCTCTCACAACTTAACACTGTTCTCTGAAGAAAAAAAAAGGTTCATGTAAATGAATTCTCAGGCTTATACTTAGGTGGGATTCTCTTAGAAGAGTGAGGGTTTATACATCTTGATGAATACCATTTTCCTCTATTGAAGACAGTAACCAGAACTAACTCTCACTCTAAGAGACAGCTGGGGAGAGACAAGCACAGGACATCCCTCTGGATATCAGGATGATACCAGGTCCATTACTTTAATAGTGGAATAAAGCTTTGGAAGAAAGAAGCAGAGCAGTAACATTAATTTTACATTCTCCAACTGGGTGCCATAAACAAAGTTTTTGGCACATTCACTCGTCCCAATATTTCTCCTTCACGTGTATAGCCACCTATTTGTAGTGCTGCTTGGATACTTTACTATTATGCTTAGAGGTTTATGATGTGACACATTTGATAATATATGATAAAAGTCTTAAAGCAGCTTCTTATTACAATGTAGTTTTTCTCACAATAGGCTAAGCAAAAAAAAATAAAAATTGTGTATTGAAGTATATATATATATATATAAAATATATATTTATATTTTATGTTAATCATTCTAAATATTAAACAAATTACCAATGACGAAATTGTGTTTCTGTGTATTTTTTTATATTGGACAAGTGAGATGTTAAAGTTATTAAAACGAGAATGCACTGACAGCAGGTGTGAGTTTAGATTTCAAAGGTTTCATTTTTATTTGAAAGTGTCCTTTTTCCTTAAGTGGTTGGACCATTTCAGTACAGTTTATTTATACATATGGCAATTACTTCACTGGATACTTAAAAGTCTACTTGAAATTCTGAGTACTTGATGTTTATACTAGACTAGTGTCAGTATCAAAAAGATTATAAACCTTTTTTATTGGACATCTGCATTTTTAATTACAGCAAATTGTTATAGCAGCATGGTAGCTTTGTTAAATGCCGATTTCAAGTTGCTTTTTGCTTTGCAGTGTAGTAACCAATGTGAATTCTAAGTCACATTGCCAGACTATATAAACTTGCCAATGTTGAAATAAATTAACTTTGAAGGATTCTTAGCCTCATTTGCAATCAGACAGGAATATAATTTACATATTCAATATTACAGCTTTGAAAGGAAATTATATGTGGTAATATGTAAATATTATAATAGTATGGAGAATAATGACTTCATACTACAGGGGAAATGTACAATATTCACAGCAGAGGTAGATGCAAGTGAACCAACCTGTATTACAAAATTCATATCTAGCTATATAAGAGCTAACAAAGAATACTTCCTACCCCTATTTAATAATTTCCCTCTTTGGCTGCCTCCAGCTGAATTTGGGAGTAGGAGCGTGAAGCATCGATAGCAAATTCTTTTTTAAAGGAACACCATAGCAATCAGAGTTTGCAGGAATCTATGATCTGCAAACTTTCTTTGTCTTAGGGATGAGCATAACCACCTAGCAAAGCTAGTGGGTATGCGGCAGCCTCCCGGAGTCAAATGCCAGAGCTGAAAAGGCTCGCGCTGTGCATCTGCACAGCAACAGCCTTTCAGCCAATCAGGTAATCAGGAGAGCCGTGCTGAGCGCGGGAATCCTGATTACCTCAGATTTTTTAAAATTGGGAAACTGCGGATGGTTAGCACATCCCATGAAATACTAAGGATAAATATTTCCCACAGTGTACAGGAATATAATTAAACTTCTAAACACAAAATAAAATAATTCAAGATGCCAATAGTACAGGGGAACAAGAAAATATTTAATAAGTCATGGAGACATACAAGATAGACTTGAAACTTTGTATAAAACAGCTGAACTGAAAAACAAGGCAACAATGTGTGCCAAAGGAAAGTATCCAAAGACCACTGGAAACATTCAACGTAAGTTGCAACAAAATAAGTTCAATAAAAGAGACAAGAAATGTTGAAACAAGTCCCAGCAGACATAATCTTTATGCAGGGAGTCCATGAGAATATTAAACCGACGAGACTACTTGCATCCAATCCTTCTACTTAGGTGGATCCTTGGTTTGTTGGTCTTGTCTTGGAGTACGGCTATAGTCTGTAAAAAACAAAACAGAGAACAGTTATCAAAAGGTTGAATAATCACCAGATAACCTTATGTTTTAGAAAAACCAACTACCACCAGCAGGCAAAACCCTTAACTAGGAGGAGGGTGGGACGGGCGCTATTGCTAGGTGGTTATGCTCATCCCTAAGACAAAGAAAGTTTGCAGATCATAGATTCCTGCAAACTCTGATTTGTCCTCCGGGAGGCATAACCACCTAGCAAAGCTAGTGGGTAGAATAGCACACACCTGGTGGTGGTCCTAAGAAACTGAAGGCGTTCAACTTCTGATGGCCTCCAGTAAAATCTAACAAAGGTTTTACTGGACAACCATCTTGCAGCTTTTAAGATAGTAGCTAGAGGAAGGCCCTTTCCTGCTGCTTTAGTAGCCGAGGCTCCCCTAATTGAATGGCTTTTGAACACTGAAACATCAATTCCAGCCGTAGACATGGCGGAAAGTATCCAGCCTCTAATTGTATTAACCTTGGCTGGACGAAAGGGATTCCTTGATGTAATGAATAATTGACTGATATCGTTTCTAAATCCAGCAGAAAGTTGAAGGTACGATTGTAACAAACTGACTAAACATAAGCCTGGTTCGGAAGAATCTTGGACCAAGTCCAATTCTACCGGACCAGGAGAAAAATGGGATGTTTTTTGTCTGCCTTTTAGTATAATATGGAAACCTCCCGGGGTCCTGGACAACCAAGGTTCTGAAATATGGATCTGAGTTAACTCTGCTCCTCTAGCTGCCAGGGCCAAGGACAGCAGAGAAGCCAGCTTAATAGCAGTCCATCTTAAATCAATTTTAGCATTATCCAAAGACTTTAGGAAATTTAATAAGACATCTACATCCCAAGTAGATGTGTAGCGTGGGGTATATGGGCGGCAGACGGCTAACCCTTTTAGTAATCTCAAATACAGGGCATCCTGAGTAAGGTTGGGGATCAGGAAGTTTAAGGCAGATCCGTAGGTCTTGATTGAACTGACAGATAAACCAGAATGGAACTTAAGGGTAAGAAATTCTAACGCCAAAGGAATGGTATCAGATCCTTGTGTGTTAGACAGAAAAGAAACCTCCCATTCTTTGAATTCCTCGATCATCTTTCTATATCTTACCCTAGTTCTACGTCTTAAAGATGAGTTAATAATATCCAAGACCTGGTCCGATAAATGGGGATGTGTTAACAGCCTACCAGGGCTGCGATCCACATCAGCTGCGGGAGCTTGAGCAGAAGATCGCTGGTTCCCTGAAAGCAGTCCACTGTCATGCCTAATGGGATCTTGGTTCCCTTGACTAACTGATGGATCAAGGGATACCAGGGTCTGGAGGTCCATACTGGGTAAACGAGAACTAAGCTCTGCACCCTGTCCCTGCGGATCTTCTCCAGCACTTTCATCAGTAAAGATGGAGGGGGGAAAGCATAAGGGGCTGGAACATCCGTCCATTGGAAAGACATTGCATCCATTTTCCAAGCTCCCTTTGTCCAGGTCCGGGAGACGAACCTGGGAGTTTGAGCGGATGTTTGGGATGCAAACAGATCTACCTGTCTCTGGCCAAAATTGCTTTCTATCTTTTGGAAAGAGCAATCTTTAATTGGATCGTTGCCAGGGACAAACTTTGGCGAGAGAGAGAGTCTGCAAGCTCGTTCGCCTCTCCCGGAACATATTCTGCGAAAACCTGAACATTGCTTGCTAAGGCCCAGGACCAAAGATCTAGAGCCTCTAAGCAAAGACCCCTTGATCTTGTACCCCCTCTGTGGTTTATATAAGCCACCGCTGTCCTGTTGTCCGAATGGACTTTTACCAATGTCGGTGACTCGTTTAGAGGAACTAGGCCCTTGAGAGCTAATTTTATAGCTCGTAACTCCAAGATGTTTATATGGAGGTGACTCTCTTGGTCTGACCAGATTCCTCTTATGGCGTTTTGGGTTGTAAACGCACCCCAACCGTGACTTGAGGCATCTGACGTCAGAGTGACTGTCGCAGGCTGCTCTAACAGTGGACGAGGAAATGGAATTTCTAACTCCAGAATGGACTTCAATTCTTCTCTGACCTTCTTGGGGAGAACAAATTTTGATTCCCAATGGCCACCCTGTCTCAGTCGGTTCCCTAAAAACAGCTGACTTCTTCTGCAAAGTAAGGGGGAATTGTTGTATGCTGGTGTTAAAGCTATTAATTTCCCTATGATCTTTGCTAGGTCTCTCAAGGACCAACTCTGGTGCTTGAGAGATGAGTTCAGATGTACCAATAATTTGTCCCATTTGTCTTGAGGGATTCCAAGGGACATAGTCCTGGTGTTCAGTATGAAACCCAGAAAGAGGATGCTTTGAGTGGGAATTAGGACTGATTTCTGTAGATTTACTACGAATCCTAGATCTTGTAAAAGGGAAGCAAGGTAATCCCTTTGAGAAGCAAGGGCTTCCCCATCTGGGTGCATGAGCAGGATGCCAAACACCATAACAGTCCACTGCCACACCTTTCCTTTCCACTGAAACCTGAGAAAACGCCTGTGTTTCTTGGCTATGGGGACTGAATGGAAGGCATCTTTTAGGTCTACTTTTATGCAGAAAAAGGCTTTCTGAACTAAGCCTGGAAGATCTGATAGACTCTCCATCCTGAACCTTTTCCTTTTGATGAAAGCGTTCAGAGGCCTCACATTTAGGACCGGTCTCCAGGAACCGTCTGACTTTGGGATTGGGAACAATGGGCTGACCCATCCTGTAATAGACATGTCTGCCAACTCTATTTTTCCTTGACTTAAAGCTAAGGAAAGGGAGGCATCTAGCACTGGGTTCACCTCTCTGTGGGGTGCAAATTTCTGGACTGGGAACCTTAACAGGGGGAGTTGTAAACCCCTTTGAAAGATCTTTAGAACCCATTTGTCTGAGGAAATATCCTTCCAATTTAGTGGCATATGAGGAGGCACACTTACTTGAATGCATGGGTTTCCTTTTGGAAGCTGAACCGCCTCTGGAATGCGCTCCTCTGCCGCCGCCTGGGAGCTTATGTCTTCCACTGTAGTGGCGGTACTGGGCCTGGTGAGAGGCTTCTCGGGACGCTCCTGCAGCCCTATAGGGGCGACCCTCCGTCCGAAAGGGCTTCTTGTAGCCAGGGACGGACTTCTTGAGTTCTGAAAAGGATCTCCTTGCCTTGTAACGGCCTTTAACCTCCTGAATAAACGAGGGACCGAATAGGTAAGAATCCTCCAAATTTGGGAACTCATGCGATTTGGGGGCTAGGTCGGACAGACCAGCTGCATGGAGCCAGCGGGATCTGCGGATGTTTGAAATGTAATTAAAGGATTGGCCAATAATTAGCACTGCCCTGCCAGACGCTTTTAAAAGGGCCATCTTAGATGCTAACAGGGATGAAGTGGAAGGTTTCTGAGCATTGCCTTCTTTTTCTGCTTTATCCAGCATCAGTAATAGTGGTCCCCCCGCATCAGCAATTTTAAACTGTATATTGCGAAAAGTCTGGTCTGTGGGATCAGAGGATACGCTGCTCCCTGTGATGGATAACAGCGAAGGGTCTACCTCTGGGGCCATTAGAGCCTGAATGTCCGGGATACCGATGTGGTTCCTGAGGAGAAGGTCATCTTCCTTAACCAAGGGGGATCTGAAGGCTAGTTTAGCAAAATCTCTAACCTCGGAATCGTGCTCCATAGCCCATCTGGAGTGAAATAATTTTGATGGGAGAGTCTTTCCTAGGAGACTTACTCTGGCCATCTGAACATTGCTTAGCTTCCCTCGCTCAGTGGAAGCTGCTGAACGAACCACTTCCTCGGATTCCCAGTCTATTTCTGGAGAGCCGTATCTGGAACTGGGACGGCTTTGGGAAGAAGAGTGAGCGAACGCTCTAGAAGAGGAAGGAGAGGGACTATCTAACCTCCAACGAGATTTGCCCTTTTCCTCTGGGAGGTGTTTCTGGTGCTCAAACGAGGGAAACACGCTATTCCTTTTTTGAGGTCCTGTCCCCTTAAATTTTCGCTTACTCAAACGAGTATGAGGGGAAGGAGGAGCGGAGAAGTTTTCCTCAGACGAGGAACTGGCGGAAGAGACCAGCCGTCTTCCTTTATGCTTTTTATTTAAAACTGGGACCAAATCCTCCTCAGATGATGAAGAGGATAGATCCCTGGCAAGGAAAGCTCTCTTATGGAGCTTTCTAACATTGATGGGGCTGCCTTTAAGAGAGGCATCCACTAAATCTGTGGCAGACACAGAAATAGAGTCCTCCATCAATGATGCCATTTTAAAAAATCTGAGGTAATCAGGATTCCCGCGCTCAGCACGGCTCTCCTGATTACCTGATTGGCTGAAAGGCTGTTGCTGTGCAGGCCTTTTCAGCTCTGGCATTTGACTCCGTGGTTTGCTAGGTGGTTATGCCTCCCGGAGGACAAATATGAATACAAACCTGTATTCCTAACATTCTAGTGTCCCTACTTGTATTAAGGTCCCCCACAATTTGCAATAAAAAGTAACAAAATAAACATTTTAGTTATCTTTTTCTTTGTTATAGAGGAGCATTGGGAACCTAATGTGCATGTGTGGTGTACACTGCCCAGGCAATCATCTTCCCCATAGGAAAACACTGAATAATTTTACCAATGCTTTCCTATGGGGGCTTCTGCATCATATGACTGAGTTTTACTCAATCATTTCAGCAAGAGCATCTCTATTGGTTTTTAGTATGACAGCCAAAAGGTGTGGATTTAATCCTGCAATGTAAAAATGGCAGTTTATAAACAACTGTAATGTTTATATTGCAGGGTTTAACCCCTTAACGATGCTCGACGGAAATTTTCCGTCAAGTCAGACCTACCCTTAAGGATGCTTGACGGAAAATTTACGTCAATTACTAAAGTTAACGCCAGATCGCCGCAATCGAGGCGATCGTGGGGTTAACGCTGTTGCTGGGTGCTTCGGCGTTTGAGGAAGCCCAGCAACAGCCAATAGCGCTGTCCCAGCACATGTGAGAGTTAAAACAGTTCTGGGCACTAACCATGCTAATGGGAATTATAAAAAAGCCCAGCATCCGAATGTACTGGTCCAAAAATCCAGTATGCAATACTCCCATTTTCTCTCAGACCATGAGTAGGCCCACGAGTAGGCCTAGATACGAATCAGTACTGCGTTTTCTGCACTTCAATGATAATTCGAAGTGCCACCCCAAAGATAATCCGCAATATGACAAACTTTATAAAATCCGCCCCCTAATTAACCATTTTAATAAAGAATTTGTCATAATTTATACTCCCCAAAAGAATATATGTATTGACGAGTCCCTAATGAAATACAAGGGTAGACTGGGGTTCAAGCAATACATCCCAGCCAAAAGATCCCAGTATGGCATCAAGCTATACAAGTTATATGAAAGTAGCAGTGGGTATATTTATACCTTCAGAGTATATGAAGGTAAAGATAGCCACTGGGATCCCCCAGGATGCCCTGATGTAGTTGGGACTAGCGGAAAAATAGTTTGGGATCTAATGAACCCGCTACTGAACAAGGGGTACCACCTCTACCTTGATAATTATTACAATAGCATACCCCTCCAAAAATGCTATATTGTTTTGAGACTGTGGTCTGCGGCACTATCCGCAAGACACGCATTGGCTTCCCCACGGCTCTGTCAGAGAAAAAAATTAAAAAGGGGGAAACGGCTGCTCTTTGCCAGGATGAACTGCTGGCTCTGAAATACAGAGACAAAAAGGAGGTGTTCATACTGACTACCATGCACAGTGAACACACACGCAGGGTCGCAGTCCGTGGGCAGACAGGAAACAAGACCGCGGCCTGTCTGCATTAAGCAATACGATAAACACATGGGGGGAGTTGACCTGTCTGATCAACTGTTGCAGCCATATCTGATAATGAGAAAGACCAGGGCCTGGTATAAGAAAGTGGGCATTTATTTAATGCAAATGGCTACTCACAATGCATTCATCCTTTTCAAAAAGGCAAATCCTCAGCTGAAATGTACTTTTATTACATCTCAGTTTCAGCTAATTTCTATGCTGCTCACTGAGTGCAACAGTGGGGAGCCATCAGCAGGGCCTAGCAGCAGAGATATTCAGACCGGTCACTTCTGCTTTCGGATACCACCAACCCCCCCAAAAAAGACCCCCCAGAAAAGGTGCAGGCTGTGTTACCAGAGAGGCATTCGAACGGAGACCAGTTTCTACTGCCCTGATTGTCCCTCTCAGCCTGGCCTTTGTATCGGGAACTGTTTTAAATTATTTCATACTCAGGGCCAATAAATTCTCAATACAATTAATATTATTGTTGTAGTTCTTCTGTTATTTGACCACTGACTATATATATGTATATTTTTTTTTACTTTTATTTAGTTAATTGGGGTGGATGATAGTTCCTGGGAAATTGGGGAGTTTAGTGAGTATGCTAGGAGTAAAAATACAAATAAAAAAATCCACAAAAAAATAAAATAACATTATTATAACATTGTTTTGTTAAAGCTCTTGTGTAAAAAGTTCAAATGCTTAGGAAGTACAGTTAGAGAATTATGACAGCGGATTCAGAGGTGACAGACAGTGCCTCAGAGTTTGACCCAAAATGGTACATGGACCCAGCATGAAAATTTAAAGCTTGAAACAAACAGAGTCTCAAATTTGCCCCTTCAACATCCACATATACCTGGGAAAGGTACATATGGGGGTATTTCTGTACTCAGACGACATTGCTGAGTGACATGAAGCGTTATACTGCTGTAGCACACCTAAGGATTGTAAAATATACAGTAAAATCTCAAAGTATGTGTCAAAACGGCAGAGAAAATGCTTACCACTACTAGACTTGGTACTCACTAGCGAAAAAATGATCCCACCCTAAGGTTTTGAAATACCCTGGGTGTCTTCTTTAAAAAATGGTAAGCCTTTGTGGGGGAAGTTTGAATTCTCAACCTGTCAAATGCCCCAAAATGGGACATGGACCCAGCATAAAAATTCAAAGCTTGAAACAAACCTGAAATGGCCGAGTCTCAAATTTGCCCCTTCAACATCCACATATACCTGGGAAAGGTACACACGGGGTATTGCTGTACTCAGGCCTTTGTGGGGGAAGTTTGAATAAGCAACCTGCTATTAGACCCTAAAATTAGTCATAAACATATAAAATTCTGTAAAAACTGAAATTGTCAGGTCTCCTATATGGCAGTGTAGCTTCAGGAAATACAGCCAAAGGCATACAATGGGGGTATCGTTTTACTCACAGGAGATAGCTCAGCATAATTTGCATAATCGTATTGGAACATATCAAATATACAAAATGCCCAGCAAAAATGTAACGCATAAGTAAAAAATGTGAAAAATATTTTTTTACCACAAACTTTGACATATAATGGTGAAAAAATGGTGACATGTTAAGGCACAATATATGCCATATGAGATTCCCTGGAGTGTCTACTTTCACAAATGGTAGGCCTTTTTGCGGTTATTGAAACAGTCAAACTGCTATAATGGCCCAAATTGAAACATTTAATTTTCTAACTGTAGAAACTGAAATAGTCTGGCCTCTTATATGTCATTGTAGCTTCCAAAGATAGTGGCAAAGGCATACAATGGGGGTATTGTTGTACTCAACAGATGTAGCTGAACACAAAATGGGATTTTGACCAGGAATAGCACACATCAGCTTTACAAAATGCACATTTAAAAAACCTTGTTATATGTGTGTATTTAAAAAAAAAACAGAAAAAACACAATTTTACTACAATATGTAGCAGAGATTGGTGGGAAAATGGCTATGTAAAAAGTGTCAAAATACCCTAAAATAAATAGCCTGTAATGTCTTCTTTATATAAATATAAACTTTTGTGTAGCAATTTTGTTTTCTGTGACGGCTGTTAAACTTACAAGTCAAACATACGAACTTCTTTTTTTTTTTTTCACATTTAAATGTTATATTACTCCTTGTATTTTGTTCCCTGTAACTTTTAAAATAAGCTGAAATCCTTTACATATTATGCACTTTGAAAAACAAGGCACCTAAATAAATTTATTTTGAATTACTCTTCCTAAGCTGGACATATTATGCACACACTATTATTGCCAAAACTGTGAAAAAAATATATTTTTTCATTTATTAAAATAATAAATTAGATTTTATATATGTATACATCACATCAAAGTAAAGCCCATCTTGTCCTTTAAAAAATGATATATAATATGTGTTGATTCAATAAATGAGAGCGATGCAAATTGCAGTTGAACACAAACAGCAAAAAATGCAAAGATAGCTTGAGTCCTTAAGGGTATGTCCAGCTTCTGAAGCTGCGTCCTCAAGGGTTAAAGTACAGAAAATTAAATGGTGTGGGTAACTATAGCGTCCCTTTAACCTGGAATCAGGATCAAACACTGATTAGTCAGAGCCACAACATTTAAACCACCTGCCTAATATTGAGTAGGTGCCCCTGGTGCTAACAAAAGATCTCTGATGTGCCGAGGCAAGGACTCCACAAGACCTCTGAATGTGTCATATGCTATCTGGCACCAAGTCTTTTGCAACATATCCTTTCAGTCCTGCAAGTTGCAAGAAGGGGCCTCTATGGATCACATTTGCTGTTCTTGGACATCCCACAGATGCTCAGTTGGATTGAGATCTAGGGAATTTGAAAGGCCAAGGCAACACCTTGAACTCTTTGTCATGTTCCTCAAACCATTTCTGTTATTTTTAAATGTAGCAGGGTGCATTATCCTGCTGAAAGAGCCACAGCCATCAGAGAACACCGTTGACATGAAGGGGTGTACCAGGTTGCAACAATCTGTACGTTGGTAGTACGTGTTTTAGAAAAGCATACAAACAAACAGACATGTTGTTCCTTGTAGTAGTGGAGAGAAATACAAGGTAGCATGTTAAATAGCTACATGCCTTAGTGGTCTAATAGTCCAAAATATATCCTTGTAGTGAAAAAGTTTAATAAATGTGCTTTTAAAAATTTTATATATATATATATATATATATATATATATATTATTTCTAAGTATATATTTATGTAATATTTTTACATAATTCAGGTCATTTTATTAATTACAATTTGCAGGACCTGCCTGACAACCAGGCCGAAAGTCCAGGGAATTTAATTTGCTAGCACTATATTTAACCCTGTAACTTTCCAATACACCATAAAACATGTACATGGGGGTACTGCTTTACTTGGGAGACTTCACCGAACACAAATATTAGTGCTTCAAAACAGTAAAAAGTATTACAACGATGATCGTCAGTGAAAGTGACATTTTTTGCATTTTTCACACACAAATGGCACTTACACTGACGATATAATTGTTGTGATATGTTTTACTGTTTTGAAACACTAATAATTGTGTTCAGCAAAGTCT